ATTTCAAGTCAATAGCAATCAAGGCTGAATCTTTCTTAAAATTGTACGGCCACACAATAAACAGGGTGTGCCCAAATCTTATTCTCCAAAGCATAAAACTGAAAGATTATGGTCAAAATTTATACAACAAATGAGAATGAACTTTTTACATAGAAAATAACACTCATTTTTGATAATTTGTACCCGTGATTTTGTCCTTGGGTCAATCTCAACCAGAATTAACACATTATAACTTATCTAACAATATATTTATCCTATTTGAAAATCTTTTTATTCAGGATTTTGAGGTATAGTCCTAATAATGCTCTATCTAAGTGTGACATCAGGCCATACAGAAATACACAGACAAACAATAAATCGTGCTTATAGGGTGACATTCATATAAATCTTGATAATACAATCGTGATGAAATGTGCACCTTAACTTGAATATTAGTTCAAGTTAAGAATATTAATATTATGTTTTTGTTGTAAAAAAATAGATAAAAAGATAAAAAATCACATTTGGCTGTGAACGGTCTTTGGACATGGTGTTTCCTCTGAGGGGAGAGTGTGTGTCCGGTTTGAGCTCTTCTGTAGACTGTCAGCAGTGAGGGATCTGATCTAACATAGTAGTGACTAATATGACTTTGTGGACAGAAAATACAAATAAAAGACATTAGAAATAACCCGGTGTTGTCTGTTTTATGAGTGAAAGGACTGCACACGTTTTATTATCATTATTACTATCCTTTCCTTTTCGTGAGTTCAAATCCCACCATGGGACCTACTCCAACTGCTCCCACTGATGACTGCTGTCGTTGTGTCCTTGGGCAAGACACTTAACCCCACGTTGCCTGAAGCCCCCCGCTGAAAGATCAAGGCTGTCTTCACAACTGATGGAGCAGCCATCTTCCTGTGGACTCACCCCCTGCAGAGGATCAGTGAGGGACTGGTGCTATGAGCATTGGGTGGCAGCTCTCATTGCCACCCCCCTGACCCAGAAATGGATTAATAAAGGGGTTGAAAATGAAATGAAATGAAAAACTATCCTATGTTACTGTATGTATGAATGTATGTACATACTGACATCTTATGGTCAGCAGAAGAACTACATGTTGATGTGACTATTTCCCAGTGTGTATTCGAGTATTGGGATGGAACAATGTACAGTATCAAGGTTTCTTTGTGATACATTCATCGCAATATTACATTTATACATGTATTTGTGCACTTGATTTATTCATTTTTTTAAATTATCTAATTGATATAAATCTGTATTTTTATTATACTCACATGCAGCTCCAGCTACATCAATCATAAAGTTTTTTTATAGCAGAGTTCATACACAAGGCAACTCAAAGTGCTGAAGAAAACCAGATAGAAACAACAAGGCATTAAAATCACAAATAATCAGGGTACATTAAAAATAGCAATTATATCCCTCATTTCCCTCAGTACATAAAAAATAGCAAATATATCCCTCATTTGTATACGCACAGCTAAACAGAACTGTTTTTAAACTGGATTTAAACAGTCAGAGAAGAAGCCCATCTCATATTTTCAGATAGATTGTTCCTGATTCTAGCAGCACCTGGGAACCCATCTCCAGAGGTTGAGGCTCGGCTTGGTCGGGACTAGAGCTGGAGGTTTTGACCTATTGTACAAGTTTTAGTGGTAGAGGAAACTGGAGCACTCGGAGGAAACCTTCGCATGAACTTGGAGAAGATACAAACTATGCTCAAAAAGACCCTGTTCCGACCGGGAGTCGAACCAGTACCGTCTTGCTGAGAAGCGAGAATGCTATCCTCTGCCACTGTGCCGAGCTATTTGACTTATTTCTTGTGTTTTAAATTGTTACATGGTATTTATTTATTTAGTTCAAATGTGGACATGACAATCCATGATTTATTTTGATTACATTCAAAATAATTTTAGTCCCAAAGAAAAGAACCGACCATATGTTGCCTGCCTCTTTCTTAGCAACACAGTACACTAAGTACAATCACAGTAAATATTGATAATCTAATACTAATGGCATGTGTCAAAATATACACGGATTTACTCACTCAACAATCCATTCAGTTTTGTGCACATTAGGCAGAATCAACTGTGAAGTGCTAATACATATAACCATGCTCCGCTTCACTTATTCCCTGAACTGAATTTTTTTTTAATTAACCATATTCTATTTTGCTGGTTAAACACATGTTGAACAAGAGGAATTGTTGGGAAATGTAGTCCAGGGTTTTTTTCAACTTGCATCATGTTTACGTCTCCTTTCCCTTCAGAATATATGTTAACTGTCAATCATTTTTAATAATCCTGAATACCTTTTTGAAACCGCTTCCATAACAAACCGTGGATCATTCCGTGAGTAGCATCGAAACCTAAAAAGCAGGATTTGTGACACTTGATATAGACTTGAAAGTAATTTAGAAAGATAAAGACATTGCCTCGAGTCAGGTTTCTTCACCATTCTTCTCAGATCAGTTCATTAATTAGGTATATTAATTAAAAGATTAAATTCCAGTGTTGCATTACAAGTTAAAGAGCAGTCGGAACGAGGCGCATGAAACACAAAATAAAATAATTGAATATAAGCATAATGTATTTGACCCAGATGTTGTTGCTCGGCTTGGTCAGAACTACCAGTGTTGGAAGAGTTTACCTATTGAGCATATTTTTTGTGACAGGGGAAACCAGAGCACCCGGAGGAAACCTGCGCTGACACGGGGAGAACATGCAAATTCCACTCAGAAAGGCCATGTTCCGACCGGGATTCGAACCCAGGACCTTGTGGCGAGAGTGCGATCCATTCAGCCACTGTGCCACACTATAGTTTACCACTATATATATAACAAACACGAGACCATAAACAAAGTCGCAGTGACATTTGCTTTTACTCACGTACATTTAACAAACAAGATCTTTATTGTTTCTGCCAATCCAACACTGCCCTCTAGCGGAGACTGCAGGACTGAGGCTCCTATCTTTTAAATAGTTGGAAGTGGTTGAGATGTAATGGATGTCACTTTCTCAAGCAGAATTCACTGATACAGTACTTTTTGAAATAACTTTCTCCAGTGATTTTCAATTCACTGGACAAAGTTCAATTCGATTTCAATCTGATTCCAAGTGATATCAAAGCAAGGAGCGAATTTGAACCAATAGCAACACTGTATAGAATCACAAAAAAAAAAAAAAACTAAAATAGATTGAGTCAAAAAGAGTAACCACAATATTGAAATCAAAAACAGATTTAATTGATAAAAAATTGATTTTGCACGCAAATCAATAATCTCAGGAAGTAAAAATGAATTTGCACAATTACAGGAAGCAAATACTAGTACAAGATGTGTAAATAGCAGAATATATTAAAGTAGTACTAGAATTTAATATTGTTTGCTTGCTTGTTTATTTATTTATTTAAAGTAAGGAAAAAATAACATACACAGTCAATTCACAATCATGTAACTTGAAAAGGGGATGGAGGAAGCTTACGCTTATTCGATTCCAACCCCCCACTCACACCGCACTACACCAAATACACACACTATACAATAAACAGAAACACGACAGTTTATGCTGCTATCCAGAATATATAACTACAATATGTGTTTATAATATTTCAGGTGTTCATTTTGACATGTTCTGATGAATTACGTTTAAAAAAACGGCTTTGAAGTGGCACCTTTTAACAAACGCTAGGGGGCGCCAAAATGGCAGTGTGCAACTCTTTCTAACTTTTAGCCTTATTTGTGAGATTCAAGTTAATTAGTGTTGGGCAAGTTAGCTAACTCTACTTGATATCATAAAATATGCTAACAAGGCTAATATTTGTTTTTACATTATGCCAGTCTCACTTTGGTTGCCTTGGATTTATTTACCACAATGTACGTTGTAATATTCAAAAATGCTAATCAAAATAACTTTTACTTTTAATATTTTACTTTTATGAACAAAAAGCTGCAGACGTTGAAAACATAGACTACATGTGATGCAATCATTGATAAAAATGTTAATTAAACCGTTAATAGGTGTTAGCATTTATGGATATTACAATGTACATTGTGGTAAATAAATCTAAGGCAACCAAAGTGAGACTGGCATAATGTAAAAACGAGTATTGGCCTTGTAAGCATGTTTTAAGACATCAAGTAGAGTTAGCTAACTTGCCCAACACTAATTAGCTTGAATCTCACAAATAAGGCTAAAAGGTTAAAAGAGTTGCACACTATTATGTACAAAACTGATGAAAATATGTTTATACCTTGTTCAGATGACAGTGAAACCTCCTACAGTTTCCAGCCCAGACTGCTGTCTGCTGCTGTGAGAGGTCCTTCTCCTACGTCATCGCCGCCATTTTGGCTCCCCCTAGCGTTTCTATGCGGAAGTGAAAAGGTGCCACTTCAAAGCCGTTTTTTTAACATAATTCATCTGAACATGTCAAAATGAATAGCAGAAATATTATAAACACATATTGTAGTTATATATTCTGGATAGCAGTATATTAAATTCTATAGTACTACTTTAAGTGACAAGGTCCAGTTCCAGGTTATTTCTAATTCATGTCATCACCAAATCGTGGCTGTAACACTAACACTATAGCCTACATTTCACCCACTCCGTCTGAATTAAACATTAGACATGTTTAGAGTGACGCAGATGTCACTCCTGTGGGTGACTCTATGTACAATAAAGAGTGTATCTGCATTAAAGAGAGTGGACTTAATTATAAGTGTAATTATTATGCACTGTTTGTGTTTATTCTGGTGTTGTATCGTTTATACTGAAGCATAAAGATTTGACCTCTACTCTATTATTGATAGCTGTCTGTCTTAAGTTTGTTTATCTTACGTATGTTGCAACACAGAAATGTCCCCATGGAATGAATAAAAGTTCTCTTACATCTTATACTCTCCCGTCTAGTGGTAAGAAAATACATTTAGCTAGATTTAGATCTATATCCAACCATGCATGATTGCTTGATCTAATGGGGAGTCAGCATTTCCTGCATTCATGAAGGTACTGTGAAATGTTCCGAAGTTAGATGCAAGACAGGTCCAATCCAGATTCTCCATATTCTGGAATCATGTGGGGGCCCATAGCTCCAGCCTTGCCTCGGGCCGCGGTCTCCCTGTGAGCGGCCCTGCGCACGGAGCGTAAAGCCAGAGCGAGTGCGCGCGCCTCACTGTCACTCAGCTCAGCATCCCGAGGACTTCCACACCGCTGCAGCAACGCGACACATCCAGGCGAAAGAGAAAAACCACCAAACGCGAATACTTCTCACCTGCACCGCTGTTTCCAAGCATCCATCTGTCAACATGAGCGAGGTGAGTGCGCGTTACTTCTCTTTTTCACGCAGCGTCAGTTTCTTTGGACTTGTTTTACGCATTGGCACAGCAACACATCGCGACGCAGCAAGCAAGCGCACCTGGTGACTGTTTGATTCCACAGCAACGCCGCCGCAGCGCTGTAAAACACACTTTTAGCACCAAACTATGCTCGTCAGATTGTCACATTTTTGCGTCTTAGTTGAATTGGGTCATGTTACGCTGCAGCATTTGCCATTCGGGGTTTTTTCCCTTATGCAGGTGTTGATACTAGCGTTGAAATGTTGTTGATTTAATCTTAGAACTCTTCTTTATGACTGCTCGTGTTCGTATTTGTGCCTACATGCTTTGGAAACCTTTGTGCAACGTCCAGCATCGTGTCATTTCCCACCACTGGTCCAAAAACCACAAGAGACCGGCTGTAATCCAAGCATGAGCAGATGTGCGGGTTTTTCTCCCCCCTCCTTCCTTCAATAGGGAACACTCTGTTTTTAACGCAGTGCTTCTTATTCTGGCGTGGATCCCAACTCTAGAGTGAGCGAGTCAATGCAGCAGCAGTTGCAGCAGCAGTTGCAGTAGCAGTAGAAGCAGCAGTTGCAGCAGCAGCAGCAGCAGCAGTAGAAGCAGCAGCAGCAGCAGTAGCAGTGGCGCTCGTTAATGGACGCATAGATAGGATCTGCTCGCTGTAAGTGGGGTTCCCTTCCAAACAGCGATAAGGGATGCTCCAGCGGAGTTGTCATTAACATCATGCGTGTAAACGATTACATTTCTAGGGTTAAGCATCAACTATCTGGTTTATGATCAAATATGAAAATCCTGACATTAAAATGCAATTTCAGAAAACGCTCTTGGGCTTTCAGAAATTGAGTTGCAAATGTGATTCAAAACGTCATGTTCAGTTTAAGAGCTTGTTTTTTTTTCTTCCAAAACACAAAGAAGATTCACTGTCTAAAACAAATTGGAAATGAAAGATGAGGCTTGATGTAAAATGTACTTTTAAAAGCAAGTTTGAGTGCTCATGTGCATCCACAATTATTTTTTCAGTTGATTGATGCATTATTGAGTATTTTTTGTTTTTGCTTATCAAGGCACCATTGCTCTGGCTGTTACCAATTTACTGGTGCATGGCTTTATGTTGGGTTTTTAAAATGTGGTCGACAGATGGTTTGGCAGCATTGTTCAGGCATTTTGTCTCAGAATATTACATTTTAAACAGGTCTTATCTGGTTTCCTGTATTACATTGTTGAATATCAATATTGAGACCTCCAAATTATAGAAAACTTGTACGAAATTATCCAACCACTGGATTTTTCATGTAAATGTATTGAAAGCAAGTCAATATTTCAACAGAGAAATTGCATTATTTCAATGCAAGGCAAACCCATACAAATACAACATAATAAACCAGTGGCTAAGAGGCACTCATGCCTCACAACAAGAAGTTATATCATGTTCCTCCTCATGTCTTGGTGGGTTATCTCCAGGTGCTCCAGTTACCACTATCAACCAAAAATATTTACCAAACATAAAATCCTCCAGCAAAGGTCCAGACCAAGACTTGGCCCCAGGCACTGCACTGCGGCGACCACTGCTCCTGGCAGGTTACGCGGCAAATCAAGCGAATACAGAGGGCGCGTTTACCTTCAGGGTCTGTAAAATATACCTTAACGTGCATAGTAGAAATATTATTTATATAGCACGTTTTTAACAGGACTGAAACTCAATGCGCTTTACGACACTGGAACAAAACAAATCACATGAAGATACAAGAGCACAGTCTATGGATAAGATAATATAAACAAGTAGGTCTTAAGCCCATGATCTGCCTGCACTTCATATCATCAGGTAGAGCATTCCATTTACAAGGAGCATTAAAGGAGAACGCTGTTTCTTATCACTCATGGCAACGACAAGATGGTTGAGGTCCGAGGTTCTTAGACAGCCCACTGGTTCAATAAGGCACAAGTAGATCAGCGATATAAGACGTCGCCAGACTGTGCAGGGCTTTATAAACAACCAGAAGGATTTTGAAGTTAATCCGGGCCTGAACTGGGACTCAGCATGGAACTAAGGCGACATGACTAATATATATTGGGTTTGTACTTTCTCTGCAGGCTAATAGCACAGTTTAGAGTTGACGTTAGCACCCAGACACACATCAGTGCAAAAGGAAGGCAAAAAGGAACGTTACCGGAATATTTATTTGAAAAAATATATAAATGTAAACAACAAAGTGAAAACGAAAGTCGGCTGAACTTTTTTACTTGTAACTGTTTTCTGTGAGTAACAAGTCGCTGTGAGTAGTGCACTTGTTGGCTTCTCTCCCATAGACTGTATAAACTGTATTAACGGACAAAGTCACGCCTATCTCCGGCGTTCTAACTAAAGGGCCAAAAAATGTGCTCTACTGGAGCTATCCAAAATGGCCGCGAGTGGTCCCGCCCACAAGAAAATTGTGAAAAAACGCATCTGCGCATGCGTCAGCCGGCGAGAGCTCCATTCATTTGAACAAAAATTCACAGCGAGTAAACTAGAGTGGTCCAAAAAAATGAGATTGCATTGACACACATGTGGAACGGAGCTTTGGGCCAAGAGCCAACTTTTGGACCATCCTGTAAAGACGTTTTTGAGAGGTCTGCCGATGCTATATGTTAGCATTGAGCCCGAATAAATTCTGGCAAAAATCGTCCAAAATGTAATATGTCGGCTTATCTGATATAAAGTGTTGTGTACATAAGACGCAAGCCCCGGCGATTCAAGATGGCGCCCTGTTCAAATTAATGGTTGTGCTCCGTGGCGCTTTGTGACGGCATGGGGGCTGAAAAGATTAGCGGAAGTTGCCTGAAACTCGCAAAGATCTATGGGAAACTCGCAAAGATCTATGGGAAACTCTCAAAGATCTATGGGAAACTCGCCTGTATTTGGGCATCGTCTGGTCCTCCCGGTTCTGCGCAGTGGATCATCTCCAATAATGCGTTGCGTCAAACACGCGTGTGTGGGTCTCACACCGGGTCTCACGCACGTGCACAGAGGGGCTCGGCTGCGCTCTGACCAATCAGAGCAGTTCATCAGAGCGGGAGTTAGAGCGAAAGCCAGAGGAGCAGAGTTTGTGGCACTAAAGTGTGGATTTAAACAAAACCGAAGGATTTAAGAAGAAAAAAGTTCAGGATGACAAGGGACACTAAAATCCCCACAAAATACTATCTTTATTAAAGCTGTAGGTTCTCTGTCAGCTGAGGTCGAGCTGTTTTAATATGCATTGAGTTCTATGGGGAAAATTTCTGGGTAGCCCACGTGTAGGAGCCACATAGTAGCTTTTTCTATCTTAGTATCTGCACGGGTGAGGGCTCACGCACTGTCCTAGTTTGTCCACTGGGTGGCAGTTTAGAGTGGCGTCTCTCAATTAGGCTGCACCTGTGTTGGGCTTAAGAGGGGCATGTGCACACCTGTGGGATAGGCATCATGGCAGGGTGAGCACGGGCTGCTACTTTCTGTTGACCGTAAGCAACATTCTGTACATCCATCATCATCCGGAAGGGCAACTGAGTCAATTCCACAAAACATCAAGTAAGTCCCTATCTGCATACGAATGAATCTACGCATCAGCAACATAGCCCGTGTCTTAGCCTGCCGCGGCGTATTGCCCCAGTTTGGACATTTTACGCCGCAATACCACGTGAATTTAGTCTGGTTCAGTCTGCAGTACCGCGAGAATCCCCTGAGCACATGAGTTATTCAGCTACAAGCCAGTAATACCCTATCCAGTTATTATAATAGACGTCAAAATCTTCGACTAATTTTCTCTTGATTTCTGCGTTTTTTTCTCCCATAAATCTTTTAAAAATAGTTAGTTAGCTAATGTAATTTTGGTCATTATAGTGAAAGTAATGGATCATTCACAATCATACATCTTATTATTGCCATTGTAAGTAACAGGAAGTAACACATTTACGAACAAATTGTAACGAATTTGCTTTTGCTCATGGTGCAAACAAGTAAAGAAAGAAAAAAATAGATAAAAAGGCATACACAAATTTCTTAAAGTTAGTAGATTCTTTTTTAAATTTATTTATTTAACACCATGTGATACAAAGTTAGTAGATTCTATTTTGACGGTGTAGAAGTGGAAATCCAGAATATTATAGAATACACAATATGCCTGCTATATATAGGGATAAACTATTACACACATGGCTCTATATACAGCAACCTTTGCACATTTATAATCAACAATATCGACCCAAAATTTCAAGTTTGAGAGAATTGTAAATGTGGGAAAACAAATGCAACACGGTCGAAAGCTGGTTATTGCACGTTATCGCCGCTTTGATGAATTCACTTTATACTGGTACATGTTTTTTTTTGCCATTATCGCACAACCCCAGTGATATTTGACACATAGAGAGTTCTCCACTGCAGATTTCACACAGCGCTCACGGCTCTCTCTCTTCTCCTTCACGCGCTAATCTCGAGCAGCCGGATGGAAAGCACCTCCCGCGCCAAAACTTGCTGCATATGCATCATTTTACGGCCGTGCATAATAAAGTAGGCAGCGGGCTTTTTTGTACCGAGCAAACTGAGGAGCCGGATGCAAATGAACACACGCATCTTCCCCAATTGCGGTGTCAGTCGGGCCCGATACAATTAAACAATCATTTATGCGATGATGCAATTCTGCCAGCGTCTTGTGTCGTGGAGCATGTTGAGGGCTTAAAGGAGACAATATTGGAGGTTCGTCAATGTGGCATTAAACACATGTATCTAGGCCAAATCCCTGGAGACGCGTACACAGCAACATGGAGGTAGAATACAAGCTCATCCACACGGCTTCGAACGACAGGAAATTGTGAATTGTGGATTTAAAATTTTGTTCGGATTGAATTTTTGTTTTGTTTTGATTGGGAAATAAATCCAAAGCTAGTCTATCCAACTCAATTTTGTGTAGTGTATAAGATCTTAGAAAAACATGTGACCTAAGATCTAAATGTTCATAATGACC